AAGGGGGGGGGGCACCATATCACCCACTCTGAAACACAGAGACTTTTAAGCGGGATAAAGTTTGGCTCACACCAGCGGAGTTCAGAAGCGATTCCTGGTTCTGTGTTCAAGGATCACTTCTGGTGATGCTCAGGGAAACATATGCATTGCTGGAGAACAAACCGCGTCAGCTGCATGCAAGGCAGGTGCCTGAACCCCAGTAGCATCTCTCCAGCCCTAGACTTGTTTTTTCCACTATAAACTCTTTTTTTGCCAGAAAATTGCAACATGGGTGAGCACTGCCAGATAGACCCTGCATTCATTTGTATGGTTGATTCTGAGAAAAAAAAAAAAAGGCTCTTGTATATTGAAACCTTTTACTATTGCCAAATTTTTCGTGACCTCCCCAACCCGAACACTTCATCTTATAAACTAAGTTCAAGGGGCCAGAGCCATAGAACAGTGGATAGGGTGCTTGCCTTGCACGCAATGATCCAGATTCAATTCCCGGCTCTCCTTATGGTTCCCCAAGCATGCCAGGAATGACCTGCATGCAGAGAGTGCAGAGACAGGAGTGTGGCCCCGCAAAAATGCTAGGCTCTAGAGCTCCTCCTCTTAGAACTAATTACAAGATGAGTATACTTGGGGGGTGGGGAGGCATGGCTCCCAGTGTTCAGGGGCCCAGGGGCCACTCCTGGCAATACTCAGGCAATGTGCAAGATAGTTCAATGCTTGGGACAAAAGACAGTACTGCTTGGGTCTGCTGCCAGGGACCATCAGGGCCACCGACTATGCACAGAGACCTGCAGAGATACACCTGGCAGTGCCGGGAATGCACCCAAGATCCTGTGCACGCAAAGTATATGCCCTTGACTCCCATGCTAACTCCCTGACCCCAAGAATGGTTTGTGTTTTTAAGGCAAAATCCAGGATTGCAGGAGCTGACTGCCTTTGATGCTGACCAGTCCCTCACTTTTGAAGGGGTGCCAGCAGTTCCACCCACCACTTCACAGCTGCACTCTCAGAACCACATCCCTGGCTTTGACCAACCCTCTTTCAAGAGCTTGAGAAACTAAGACCCCGAGAGCCAACACATCTGCCCAGGGACCCTGACAGATTTCAGCTCTGAGAGCTGCTGAGTTCTCACCCCAAATCAAGGGCTCAGATCAGCAGAACCCAGCAGTGCGTTGCTCCCAGCACACAGGACCTCAATGACCAAACTGGCTAGAGGAAGGCAGCCCGCCCATGGGGCAGGCTGGGGACCGGGCATTTATGCTGACCTATCAAATCAAGTCACAGAAATGCCCAAATGTCAAAGATCTGAACAGAACATTAGCAGGAAAAGTGAAGGAAAAGAACACTCTGAAAGTTATTTACAACTCCTCAGAACGCTGAAGAGTAACACAGTCCTTCACGGCAATAATCTACCACAAAAGCAAGAGAATGATTAGGAGAAGGCCCAGATTCACAGATTTAGGACCAGTCCTTGGTGGGGAGGTAGAGAGGCCTAACTGAGTCTCAAATCACACCTGTCCATTTCTCTAGCCCTTAATGTGTATTTTAGTCACTGAAATTACAAATGACTCAGTTTCACCATCCTGAACTGAATTTAGAGATGCAAGGATAAAAAGATTTGGGAGGTGTTTGCCTGGAACTCACCTAACTTGGTAACTGCCAAGGAAAAAGCATTCTAAGTTGTTCATTCTAACTGGCTATTTCTCCAGCTGTACCCTATTCCTACTATCTCAGTGACCCACGCTTTCCCAGCCCAAGTTTATAATTAGGTATGGGGGGAAGCCCTTGGAGCAGAGACTGGTGGAGCACATGCCTTACACGTATGCAAGGCCCTGGCTCAATTCTCAGCACCACTTGCCCCTGCTCAGATGGTCCCTGAAAACCACCAAGAAGAGTCCCCTCCCCACTCCAATAATGAAAAATAAAGCTAGGTACCAGGGCCAACAGGTTTGTTCTGTCACCAGACACAAAACAATGCTTTTTTAATGTTAAATGACCAAAAGAGCAAAACCTGTGAGTTTCACCAGGATGGGGTGTGGGTGAAATAGAACATGTCCAAGGAGGCAGAGTTGAGGATTATCCTACACCTCATACAGCAGCAGCAAACTGCATGTGATGGTTTCAGTGGGACAACAGGCCCACAAGCAGAGGTGGCAGAGGTCAACTCAGAATGGCGCACTCACCCCCAAAGCAATGCCCCCACAACGGCATGACAGACAAGCTGCCAAGAAACTCATCCCAGGGCCACAGCAACAGTATCCCAGGTACGATGTTTGCCTTGCATACACAGCTGACCTGTCTTGATACCCCATATGGTCCGTCCCCCCAAGAGTGATCTCTGAGCACAGGACTCGGAGTAAGCTCTGAGCATTGCCTGTCCCCCCCACAAAAAAAAGAAACATCATTCTGGAACCACCGGGAGGAAGGTCTGGGCAAATGGGCTGGAAGACTTCACCAGGCACCGGGGTGTCCCCTCTGCAAACAGGACCCTGCAAAACGGTCATGTTGTAGCAGACAGAGGGCCAGCTGCCAATTGTGGGGAAGCCAAGTTCCTTTTCCTCCAACCACATCTCCAGGTTGGAAGAGAGGAGGGGTGCCTTTAACAAAATCCAAAAGCAAATGATTCAAGAGAAATTTAACAAGTCTCAGAGATTTACTGGGAGAGAAGAAAAATTAAAAAGCACCTGTCATGTAGCAGGTGGCATCTCCAGGCTCACCTGCCTCTCCATTTTTTTTTCTCGAGGAGGAAGAAAGGCAATACAGTGCGAACTCAAACAGCCTCTACCTCTGTACTATGGCGAAGACGCAGCCTAGGATTGAGGCCCAGAGAATATTTGGGTTACCAGGTAGCCGGACAAATTGCATTAAAATATTGATGCCCCGCAACCTTACACTGGAGATAGACTTTGGCATGTGAGCAAGTCACAACAGACACCACCACTGTCACCATGCAGGGGCCAAGTGTGAAGGTACTTCCTAGAAACAGGAGGAACTGGCATATAAGCCAAAAGGATTCCGGCTAGACACAAACCCACCAGAACAGTCTCCCTGGCAAGAGGAGTCCCCCAGCCTGTCGACTGTGGGCCAGATGTGTGACAAACAATCTGCGTGACTTCGAGAAACTTATCTAATCCCCATGGGCAATAAAGCTTCGATGATTTGCCTAGCTGCAGCGTCAAGAACCTCCTCTAGCTCTGTACCCAAGCTTCTGAAAAATGTGCCCAAGAATTATTACCCAGAACCCACCAAACTAGTTAATAAGTGAAAGAGGAAAGGGTCAAGGCGAGTCAATGAGCTCCCAAAACACCACTTCCCTCGGGAGGGAACACGTGGCAGCGCTCTGAAAGACTCCACTAAAACACACGTGAATCACTAGCACGCCCGAACACAGAGGAAGCAGCTGCTCAGGATTTCAAAGATGCTCTGTGCCTTTAAGAACAAAGTGGCTGGGTGGTGCCTAAGAGTTCAATCTTTGCTTTTTTTTTTCTAAGAGGTTTCAGGGTTTTTTTTTTTTTTTAATTTGGGAAGGACATACAAGATCCCAGTAAGATTACTACTTGCCAGAAGGACAAGTTTCCCAGTGCGTGAACGTGGACTGCGATTGCGACAAGGAGGTGGGGGTGGGTGAGAAGGGGGGCAGGGTAAAGCGGACTGCACCGCGGCCCAGATTTCCCCGCCGAGTTAAATTTAAACACCAAGTAGCCGGTGCCTTGATAAGGGCAAGACGGCCAGGGTAAGCTCTCCGATCGCTCTGCCCGCACCCTCTACCCAGCGAGCGAAGCCTCCCCCGCAGCTGGAGCCAAGTTCACCGGGTTTGCGTTATCGGCGGGGGCGGGCCGAGAGGGTCCCTAGCGCCCCGGGTCTCTCCCCCTCTCGTAGGGGCGAGGAGAACGCAACAAGGCCCGGGGAATCCGCGGCCGCTTCATCCCGGCACCCCCCAACTCCCAGTCCCGGTCGGCCGGAGGGCGAGGGGAGGAACCGCGTATGGGAACACAGAACTGCCAAGAGCGCTGAAAGCCCCAGCCCGGAGGGGGCCCGAGCGCCGGATGGGGGTACAATTAGGCCGGGGCGGGACGTGCAGGCGGGGCGCGACATGTGACCCGCAGCGCCCCCCGGGAGTGAAGTGAGGACAGCCACCTTGAAGGGACTGCAAAAGCGAACAGGCTCAAACACACTAGCCTCGGAGACCGTAACTCGGGGCAAAAGACCCCGCCCCCAGCCCCTTCCTCTTAAAAATCAAAAATGGTCCCCGAGCCCATCTGCAACCCCTCCCCCCCAGCCCTGTCCTCGGTCGCCGCACGCAACGTCCTGGGGCTGGGATCCCTGCTGGGGCCGAGTCACCGGCCGGGCCAAAGTGGTGGTGGTGGTGGGGTGGGGGTGCGCGACCCCAGAAGTTGGACGCGCTGCCCAAGCGGCCAGATGCACGCCAAAGCCCTCGCGGGGCAGAGAGCCGGGTCTCCAGCCGGGGCCCGAGGGGGGGACGTGCTCCCAGCCCTGCGCGCCTGGCACGCCCCGCCGCGACCCACGCCGGGTACACACGACCTTTGGAAAGTAAACGGGTGCGGGGCCCGGCGACCTTGGGTGCGACGCGCGCTCCGCTCGGAGCCCCGCGCGCTCCCACAAAGTTGCGCGGCGGCCGGGCCGTCCCGAGCGCCCGCCGCCACGCGCGTGGGCAGGGACCGCGCGGCCGCCGCGCGCCGAGCCGGGCCCCGCACCGGCGATCTGTCAGGAGGCAGGCGGCCCCGGCGGCGGGGGAGGACCGGGCACCGCGCGCAGGCGATGGAGCGGTGACCAGGGCCTACTTGACAGCCGCCGGCGGGCCGCGCGGCCCCTCCGCACCCGCCCGGCGCCACCTGCGCGGGGCGGCGCGCACCTGCAACCCGCTAGGCTCCCCCCACCCCACCACCACACCCGCAGCCCCTCGATCCCCTAGACGGCGTCGCCCTTCGGAGGGGGGGCCCGGGAGGAGGCGCCCAGGCCAGCAGTCCCCGGCAGCGCCAACTTACCGCTCCGCGGCGAGCGTCGGGATGCAGAGCCCTGGCGGCGCCGCCGCCCGCCGCCCCCCACCCCGGCCGCCCGGCCCCGCCGCGCGCCGCTCCGGTGGCTCCCCCACGTGCTCGCCCGGGCCGGTAGAACACAGAGACGTTAAATACTGAGGACGCGCGGCGACGTGCCCGCGGCGCGACGCGAGGCCCCGCCCCCCGCCCGCGTGCCCCCGCGCCCGCCCCGCTCACCTGCGCGTGCGCGCCGCCCGCGCGCGCCTCTCCCCGCGGCGCCCGGAGAGGGCGCGGTCTGCAGCGCTCCGCCGACTTCCCGCTGCCGCCGCCGCCGCCGCCTCTGCCGCCGCCGCCGCTGCCGCCCGCACCCGGCCGGGCCGCGCGCTCTCGCGAGAGGAGTTGGGATCTCGCCGTGTGCGTCGGGGAAAGGGCCTGCCGGCGGGCGTCGAAACGATACCCGGGGAACCGGGAAGCGGGCGCGGCGCAGCCTTCCCGGCGCGGCTTCTCCGCCTGCCGGCTCCGGTCCGCCTCCCAGCGTCGGGCCGGCAGCCTGCGCCGGGCCCGAGAATCCCTTGGGAAAAAAGGCGGGAGGAGTGGTACCCCAGTCCTGCTTCCCCGTTGTCATGCATCCTGAAGTTGTCATAGCAATTGCGTAACGGGAGTAGCTAGCATCACTCAGAAGCAACTTTCTTGCGTCTTTTCGTAACTCTCTAAGGTCCCTTCCGATCACGGGGAATGATCTGGCCGAAAAAAGTAACCATGAAGCGCTGACTTCGGCCAGGGACACACACACACACACACAGGTGGACAGAGCAGGTTCCCGCTGACCAGCGCTCAGTCCTAAGATTTCGAAGGCTTGAGCTTTAGTTTGACGAAAATACAGAGAAGAGGTCATGCCAAGAATGAACCATGAAACTCAATGGCAAAGCACATAACTCGCGTGCCTGAGATCCGAGTTCCATCTCGTTCACTTAAGGGTGTAGGAACACATAACTGCCGTGGTGAGAAGCAGAGGAAAGAAGCGATGCCTTGAAAAGCTCGACGTTGTAATTTAAACCTAACGGATGAGATGGGGCCAGCTTGTAAACAGAGTATGGGAATATTCCCAGGGGACGCAACACAAGCAATTACAGCAGGTAACAGCTCCTGGTGAACTTGGAAGATCAGTGTGAATCTTGAAAGATTCAAGTGAATGGAATATGAGGGGGGGAGAACAGGAAATGGAAAAAAAAACAAGAGGTTGGATGCAGAGGAAGACAGGGAGAGGGAGCTGAAGGAACACATGGGTCTTATAGACCACAGTAAAGTTTAGGTTTTATTTGACTCCACTTAGCTCCCAGGCCAGTATCCTTGCATCTATTACCTCAGTTAGAATATTCTGCAGGTTTCTGTAGAACTCACGTCCTCACTTCTTTAAAGTCCTTTACTGAAAGTTCTCAGCAAAGCCCAGACTCCCTATTTAAAATTATAAACACACACTATCCCATACCTCTTTATTTTTTCCATAGCACTTATTACTTTCAACATAAATTTTTACATACACCAAGTCATAAAAAGAGTCTCGGAAACAGACTTTTAATGAAATGACTGTAGTAAAGTCAATTTTCAATTTCAGTTCTGGCTAACAAGGTGAAGTTTCTGAGACTTTTTATAAGCTGAGTGAGGACTTGACACAAAGTATTTTAAAGATATATATGTATATGTGTATATATATATATACAAAGTATTTTTTAAATAAAGGACCCCCTGGAGTGATAGTACAAGCATTAGATAGTACAGGCAAATACATAATTGCCTTGAATGTAAACAATTCCTGGTACCACTTATGGTCCCCAGAGCACCTCCAGATGGGGTCCAAAAGCTCTAAATAAATTAACATATATCAATCAATGTATTTTATTTTAACATTTTAATTGCTTTAAAATATATTATTTACACTCCAGAGATTCCACTTTTTAATTTATTTTTTATTGTTTATGTAACACAATTACAATAGTGTTAATGTTTTGACAGTATTGTAAATTACGTGACTAAAGTTAAATTTAAAAACTAAAACAAGGGGCTGAAGCTAGAGAACAGTGGGTAGGAAGTTTTCCAGGTTCCATCCCCAGCATCACATATGGTCCTCTGAGCTTGCCAGGAGTGATTCCTGAGCACAAAACCAAGTATGAGCACTCCCAGGTGTGGCCCAAAAATTAAAAATTAAAAACAAAAGTAAAGCAACATAAAACACTAAAAATCAGTAGTGCTTATGTTTTATGCCTTTACCTGTGGTTTCTGCACTTTCACCATCACTAAAGTGACTGTCCTATGTCACTTCTAGTCTACCTCTTCCTCATCTCACACCCTGTGTTGTTTTTCAGTCAACCAGTTGACTTGGTGGGCCCTCCAGCATGTCCCTCCCTCTGGAAGAGGAAAGACAAATATCTCACCAGAAGGATCTACAAAAGAAACTTAGTGACAGCAAACAGAAATGATCTACATTCTGAGTCACAGAGAAAAGGAGTGTGTGTTATTCCTTCTGTTTAAATACATAAACTAAACCTGTCTCCCAGTTCCCTTAACATGAAAAAGCATTTGGTTATTTCCAGGACCATGTGTGTCTGCAGGGAAGAATAAATTGCTTAACTACTAGGGAAGTCAATGGAAAGATTTGGGAGATAACAATACTAATGGCTACTCCTTTTGTGTGCAAGAGGTTCCAGGGGTTGAATCTGCGACTTCATATATTGAACTATATGCTCTACCGCTGAGCTACATCCCTGAACTCTTCCTGGCAGCACTGTGCAAGGCACCTTAGGACAATCAGCTACCAGTCTCAAAAATCACTGCATTTCCGTTGTTTGACCCTTTGTCCCATAGCAATGGAGGGAGGATTTTATCCCAAGCAATCTGATATAGTGCTCATGGATTGAACGAATCATTATTCCAAAGGAGGCAAACCCTTAAAAAGAGGAAAGAGTCTGATACAGAAATGTATCTCAATAGATTGGTGTCTCCCGTCCTCACCCCTTTCTCCCAAAAAATCTGTCAAGGGGCCAAGAAGATAGTACTGCTGGTAAGATATTTGCCTTGCATGCAGCCAACCCAGGCTTGATCTCTGGCACCTCATATGGTCTCCTGAGTACCACCAGGAGTAATACCTGCATGCAGAGCCAGAAGTGCATCACTGGGTGTGACCCAACAACAAAAACAAGAAAAGATGATGCTTCAGGTCCCATTTGGTGGATTCTGTCAGAGGTCTGGATGGCTGTAACCAGAGCCCACTACATTCTTCCCACTTTTTTTTATCCTTCCTTCCTTCCTTTAAAAATGTTTTTCCCTTATGTTTTTGGCACCCAGTGGGTAGAGGTCAACACTTACTCCTGGCTTTGTGCTCAGGGATGACTCCTGGTAGTGCTCAGAGATCATATGTGGTGGTGGGGGTTGAACCACACGCAAGTGGGCCATGTACAAGGCAAGTTCCCTACCCACTGTATTACCTCTCCTGCCCCAATTTCTTTCAGTTTTGTTTTGTTTTGTTTTGCTTTGTTTTTGTTTTTGGGTCACACCCAGCAATTCTCAGAGGTTACTCCTGGCTCTGCACTCAGGGATCACTCCTGGTAGTGCTCAGGGGACCATATGGGATGCTGAGGATCAAACTCGGTTGACTGCACACCCAGGTTAGCTGCATACATGGCAAGCACCCTGCCCACTGTCCTATTGCTCCAGATCTCCTTCCAGGTTTTTTTTGTTTTTGTTTTTGTTTTTGTTTTTTTTTGCTTTTTTGGGTCACACCCAGTGATGCACAGGAGTTACTCCTGGTTCATGCACTCAGGAATCACTCCTGGCAGTGCTCAGGGGACCAAATGGGATGGTGGGAATCGAAGTTGGGTCGGCCATGTGCAAGGCAAACGCCCTACCCTCTGTGCTATTGCTCCAGCCCCTCCTTCCAGTTCCTTAACCTAAGAAAACACTGCAAACTACACCAGGCAGACTGAAGTTCTATCCCAAACCAATTTAGATCCTTCAACTACAGTCAGCTCATGCACGGAGAATGGTTGCCATTCTCATTTTATTCCCTGGCAGCTAACTTCTGCACCAGTTGTTAGAGGTCTCCCAGGAGGCTGCCAGATGCTGCTGGTGTCTGTGTGTGGACTCCACATACCATTGCAGCAGAGATGGTCTAAAATGGCTGATGCAGAAATCTCGAATGATGTTGGGAAACAGGTGCTTCCCGAAACATGAGATACTTGATCAAGGCCATCTTCCGCTAGAAGGGTACAGCAGAAGATAGCGAAAGAGAGCTGGGGCACTATATGCCAAATTTCTACTCTTCCTAGGTCAGGGAGATAATTTGAACAGCTAGACAGCATGCTTCATATGTGGGATCCTTGGCTACACATTGTCCCTCAAACCCTCCTGGGAGTCACCTTTGAGCAGCATGCTGGGTATTACCCCAGAACGCCACCCATGTAGCCTCCAATACGAAATAAAACATTCCATTGTTTCCAACCTCTACATATAAACACTCCTAACTGCCATTGCCCTGATTGCCCTGGATTCTTTTTTATTTTTTTTCATCTTTCTCTCTCTTCTCTTTGTGTTATAAGGGAAAATTCAAACTATACCCAGCAGTGGGGCTGGAGTGATAACACAGCAGGTAGGGCATTTTCCTTGCACATGGCCGACCCAGGTTCAATCCCCAGCATCCCATATGGTACCCCGAGCACTGCCAGGAGTAATTCCTGGGTGAAGAGCCAGGAGGAACCCCTGAGCATTTCTGGGTGTAATCAAAAAAATCAAAATAAATAAGTAAAAATAATAATAAAAGTATCTTTAGACTATATCCAGCAGTACTCAGTGTTTACTAATGACTCTGCACTCATGGATCACTCCTAGCAGGCTCAGGGGACCATCTGTGGTATTGGGAATTGAATCCTGGTTGGCCCCATGCAAGGCAAATCCCCTCACCCCTATCCTATCTGTCCCTGAGGAAACATTTTTTTACACCATCTTAGCAAGTTCCTGGCAAGCTTCGCTGTCTTCTGTTTAATTAGGCAGTCGAGTTCCCCACAAACTAACATGTCTACCCTCTGCTTTCACCAGCCCATTCAGGACCATTGTTCATATTAGACCACAGGTGTCTCTACTCCCAGACAG